TGCATAAGACTACATATGCATTTATCTATATAATTACTGTATATCGAAAAGAATTTATTGGTAGGAAATAAAGACTATGAAACTAAAGTTTGTAATCAAGGTAAGAAGCATCCTAAAATAATACTTCTAAACATATTTTAATTTCTGAATCAGTAAAAATTATGTAAACACATTATATTTCCTAATACGAAAAACAAACGAATAGCAATTTTTTGACAACAAAACATTTTAACAGCTCAGAAAATTAGCATACATTGTAATTGAAAAAAATTAGTATACATTGTAGGTTTTTTAATAACAACAAAAATTAAAGATACAATTCAAATTCTTGGGTATGCAAGCATGATATTCTTACAGAGAACATGCATCCCAAACTTTGTAAAATAAGATATGATGAATTACATGCAATATCATACAAAAATTAATAAATTTTTAATTTATAAAAAATTAAATTTAAAGGCTAGATGATATATATATAACAAATTAAATTATTGATTAGTAAAGTATTTATAATTAGTAAGTAAATCAAATTTTAGGCAACAAAATTAATATACATGCAGGATCAAGAGACTGAAAGTGCTTTAAGCTTCTTCTTTGAGCAGATCAGCATACAATTAATACAGCTTAATTTATGATATTAATAGGGAGAATTTCTGTACGAACACCCTAGAAAAATTAAAAGAAATTAACATCAGAAATCTCATTCTTAAATTTCTGATCATAGCTATAACTTATAATAAGCATATGAATTTAAAAAAACAATTAGGAAGTTGTTAATGAAAATTTATATTTCAAGAATGGAATGAACTCCAGTGAATTATTTGATCATGGCAAAGTACATTAGAACTCCAGTCATTCCACCACGGATTGACTTGATTTTACTTTAGGATGCAGTCCATAAAGAATTCATATTCGTTTTAATGTATTTTAACCAAGGAAAATAGGTTGCGGAGGAAGAGAAGATCCTTGTCTCCTGGATTTCAAATCAAACAAACAAAGGAACGAACAAACAAAATAAATATATAAATAAATGAACAAAAATCTGAAAGCTTTCAGATTTTATATTATGCCCAAAGGGATTTCAATGTTTTGTGTGTTACCTCTACTTATTAAATATCATGTTCTTCGCACTTAAATCATAGAAAATCCAGTTCAACAACAATATCACAAAATATTTAAAAATAGTATCTCTTTAGAATTTCCGATACACAGGCTCGCGCGCTGGAGATAAAAATGCTTTTTTCCGTACAGTTTTGCCATTGTACTTTGAAATCTTTGAATTATTTGATCAAAAATTCATTAAAGGTTTAACAAAATATGAAATAAATAATAAAAAAACTTCCAAATTCCAAATTCGGGGGTCCAGATGCTCATGTTCGGATTTGATGGCTCTAGGTACGTGGCTATAGGAAGGTGTAATTTTTTCTTCATTGTATTGTGCCAATAATGTAGTAATGTTTAAATAATGGTCCCTTACGTATTCTAAAAAGCTCATGAGGATAAGAACTTTCTGTTTTATTTGAACTTCTGTTTTATGACTGAACATTTTGTTTTATGTTGCCGAAATATTCGTGAGGTACAGCAACAGGAAAAGGAAAAACCTAGTGAATTAAAGATTAAAAGAAAAAAAAATAATCAAAATTTGTTAACCCAAACTGTGAGAAAAATAAGCGATACATTAAAGGAGGACAACTTTGATAATCGCGATTTGGAAGGCTTAAAAATATCAGATGGAAGAGAAAGCTAATCAGATCATTCAGCTAAATTATAAAATATAAAAGTATAATAAATGATTTAGAAATGCTTGAAGCAGATGTTTGACAAGCCAGGATTATTGCCAAAAAATTATCGTGTCCCAAATCGAGAATAGATAAGTACGTTAATAAAAGCGAAAGGGAAACTAACGAATCCTTTAGAAATTCTTAAGAAGGGATAAATAGTAAATATCCTAATATCAAATTGTCTAAATTGAAAATAGAACATTATAATGGTAAATATGTAAACTGGTAGGAATTTGGGGAACGTTTTAAAGAATACTGAGTTCTGATTACTAATTGAACTGAAGTGTAATGATAACTATGGTAATTGTAACTAATTGTAACATGTTATTTGTAAAGTATTTACGTATAGGACACTCCGTTTATTTGCTAGATCATTACAAGAAGAAACCCAAAAATAACCGAGATTATTTTTAAGCAATTGTGTTCTACTTTACACTTGCATACTTAAGTACCTTCAGAGTATTCACTAGCTTCGACGCACTTTTCTCAGCATGCTGTCCATTGCTTGAAGAGTGGAAAGAGGTCTGGAACTCTTGGCACAGAATATTGGAACATTGAGCCTTCTCTTGTAATAGAATCCACATCACGGTATTGCTTTTTTTAATCCACTGAATTTTGGCATTTGACTTTTGGCATATTTGTGAAAATAAAGAAAAATTGCACCCAGCAGAAGGAGAAGATATGAACGTTAAATGCTACATTAGTACCCAAGTTTGGCGTTTTTTCCGAAGAAACGCCGAATGGAAATCTAGTGTATGGTCTTTTGTTAAGAGTTTGGTGAATAGTCTTTCGAAGACCTTTAAAAATAGCTTTGCGCCACCCAGACGGTATAGTGGCTAGGGGAGCCTGACTACGATATCGAAAGGCCTGGGCGCGAATATCGGAGAAGGCACGGATATAAAATTGTTTGTGCCTTCATAGGAGGTAATGTTGCCGCCAGATTCTTTGTCTTAGGTGCCTCCACAATAAAATGGCCACTACTTCTGACCTTAGAAGTGGCCAGTGTCGTTATACGCAAGTGCCCGCTATTGGAAAAAAATAGCTTTGCTGCACTTTTGAGAGTATTTTCCTCATTTCACTCTCAATGTCTATATTGTAGCAGACTTCATTTGGCATGTCATTTTTGGATCAGAAAAAAACACTCGTACAGTTTACCGAAATGATTTATTCAAATGCTTGACGAATCATAATAACGGTCTTTCTTGCAGATGTCTTCAATAAAAAAAACAAAATTTCAAGCACACTGTTTGTTTTTTGTGGTCGCACACCAGAAAAATCACAGACCGCTGCGAGGAGGAATATAAATAAATAAGTGCCAAAGCCGAACTCTCTTTACTTATATAGATATTATTCGGCAAATAAGCACTAGAAATCCTAAGCTAATATGCTTTAGTGGCGCAACCCCTTATTTTGAAATGCTTGCGTGTAATGCTGTCCTGGTATTTTCAGATTAGCCCTGCGTATACTGTAAGTAACTGAAATAAGGGGAAAAGCAAACAGACCATTTAAATCGATTCCACGTCGTTCGCAGTATCAGGATTTGTATTATTAAATGAAAGAAAGCAAACATACCTTTAAATTCTTTACACATCTTTCCCAGTTTTAGAATTTTGTTGATTAATATGCATAGGACAATTATTTTTCTTACAGCATATATGTTCTTCATTATAAGAAGCAATAAATAAATGACTTGAAATAACAAAGTATTTATTGTTAGCAAAAGTAAAATAAGTTTAGGGTAAAGTAGCCAGTTTATCTATTCATGTCAAGATGATTCGTTAAGGATGCAAGATTATTAAATCTTTGATTTTAATTTTCCTGTTCCATAATTCACAGACATTGTAAAATGCGTAGTATTAAAGCTTCCAAGTGCCAAACAAGTAACATTATTAATTGGACAGGGAAAAACAGGCAGTCATTACTTTTACATGCAAAGAAGACTCCAAAGGAACGCTCGAGAAAGGTACGTATCGTTTCTAATGTTTCTGAAGTTAAATCGTTGGTAAAAAAAGGAAATCCACCGACGCAGAAATCAATCGCTACCATCTGTAACAGCAATAAATAAAATAATAAAGCAAGATTTACAACTTAAAAAAGCTAAAAAGAATAATATTCACCACCTTTTGCATAGGCCTGTGGAAAATTTGATAGAATAAATAGAAAAATAATAGAATAAATATAAAATAAATAGAAAAATTTGTAGAACTCTCTATAAAAACTAATATTTAGCAGGAGATAAATGGGAATATATTGTGATCCTTTAAGGGTTTACCTTTTAAGTGTTTATTAAAAAGTCTATTTATTATCGAAAATGAAGGGACGAAAATGTATAAACCTCATTCCAAAGGGTAAAGGGTTTATGATTATCGCAAGATTCTCTTACAGTGGCAAGAGAAAGTTTTAAGTCCGATGTTTACATGAGAAATTATATATTTTTTTATTCCGATGGCTATTAGTGAGTGAAACTTCATCAAGACAAAGTAATAAGTCATCCTTCGAAAATTACCACTGCATTCCTTAGGAAAAAATGAAGACAGATTTTAAAAAATGATACAGGTATTGCATATATAGCTTTTCAACGTATTTCTACGAAGCCATGACGTTTCATCTATGGACTATTGTGCCTCTTGAAAAAAGCTTTTTCTAAGCGCAAACCCACTACGCCTCGAAAGTAGTTAAAGAGGAATAGAAATCACTACTAAAAACCTTTCGGTCATGGAAATCAAATCACGATGCAGACTTATTGTGTAGAAAAAAGGCTATCAGATCGAACATTTAAAATATTCACTTTGCATTTTAAACATCAATTAAACCTCCCCAAAATCGTTCTAAAAACCCGTAAATACACTTTGTAGTTTGGATAAGTCTGAAACTCTCAGTGCATGCTTTGCTCCAAAGATAAGGTGTGTACTATAATAGAATAAAGATAATTTAATGAGACAAATGAAATATCCCAGTGAAAACGGCTAGGTAAGATTTCAAATACAAATAAATATTTGTTATTTTTAGCGCAACAATACGCATCCATTTACAGATGAGACGATCCTGGGTTCAGACATAGATTTCAATACCAAATTCGGAACCGACTTTGCAAGAAAGAAAACAAAACAAATTTAGATTTTTATGTGTATTGTGTAATTACATATAATGAAACGAAACATTGCATTTGTGGCCAAAGAAGAGAAGAAATAGTATCTAGAAAAAATACTTCCAACATGCCTTCGTTTTTATTGATTCCAATGTCTTTGTCAAATCTTGCGCGGTGTCAATATCAAGCCAGTGATCCTTTAACTTCTCAAACTCAGGATGTTTCATCAAAACGGTAAACATGAGTTTCCCACAGTGCCTGCGCAAGAGAAAAATTTTGTAATTAGTTCAAGAAATATGTGATAAAATGCTCCTTCAAATGCCACATTAATATTCAGCAACTTCGCATGTGGTAGCTTCAGTTCTCTTTTTCATATTTTATTTCCTGAATTTGTTTTTCTTTTTAATGCTTTATATGCAACACCTCATCAAATATCTTCATTTGGATTTCGTTAGAAGTACGTTTATGCGAATCCAAGCGGGAGTTCGTTTTATATCATCCGTTCATACTGACATTGCCTTCTGAGTTCGTTGCTCGAAAGCTTTTGGAGTTGAAGGGATTCTGTGCTTCGGAGTTAAAACTATTAAACCGCAAATTGGGAATTAAGGACTTGTAATTGAAAGGGAATGAACTACAGTGAACATATATAAATTTATCACAATTCAAAAATGTATATTAAATTATCAATTCTACTTCCTATTCACAATTTCAGTTGTTTTCTATAATTAAAGGAAAGTGTTTAATGTGCAGGTACAACTCTAATCGAAATATTTTTGTGTGGTTTATATTCAGATGAGAGCTCTTTTTCTTTCTCATTGTAATCTTTTCTACATGTATCTCATGAAAGTTTTACAAAAGGAAAAATAAATTAAATTACTTTTTCTACTGGAGATAAGAAAAATACACTTACCCATAGTTAGCACACATGTTAAGCTACTTTACAAACCTATACGTGAAATTGACGTAAATAAATAACAAAACACGCATCTTTAGCACTGAAAGTAGAATGTGTAACTTTTTCAGTTACAGGTCTCCAAATAAGCGGAATATCTGGTGTCAATTCATCTGGATAATAGAAACTTCTGGGCAGCTGAGTTGTTTGTTATCTAAGGTTTCGCCCCCCTCCTTTTCACATGCCTTCGTGGTATAATTGGAAGCATACTAGACGCATATTCGAGAGGTCCAGGGCTCGAGTCACAACGAGGGCACTGCACATTTTTCTCATCTCCTGCTTCAAAATAATCTAATACCTCTACAAGTGGCTTCGAAACTAAAAGGTGGTGTACAATAATTCGTCACCACCAGGATTTGGCAACTGAGTTCTTTAATACATAGTCGACCTTTAAAAGGAGAAGTATATAAGGTATTTTTTCTCTCCTATCCGCATGCCTTCGTGATGTAACTGAAGGCATACACTAAAATTTAATTTTTATTAAAGTAAATGGCCCTAAAACCAAACATAATTTTGGTCTTTCTACTCAAATAAATAAGACTGCTTTTCTTTAATAGTTGCCTGATATATATTTGTTAGTCTATTGTAGGCTAATTCATATTATATGACTTTATTTAATTTAATAGCATTTCAAAAATAAGTAGTGTACCGTATTTTAGTTTTACATTGTTTAAATCAATTATATTTTAATATTACTTAAAAGAATCCGTAATTAAATAATAGCATAATTTTATTTGGCTTAGTAAGATTAGTATGTATATAGCATATGATTCGGATAACTGCTGTGCAAGTAAATGGAATTCTTCTGTATTTAAAAGTTTCGTTTAAAACGTTTTTTTTATAGAATATACTATATTAAAACCACTGTTCCACTTCAACCACTGTTCTTGATATACATATCTGCACTAGTTTCAGAAACTTAGATAAAGAGTCGATTGCTATCATGAAAAAAAAAAAAAAAAAAAAAAAAAAAAAAAAAATACGGAAAATACGTGAAAATATCTACGAGAGAATTACAGTAACAATAAGAAGGAAAAACTCTACAAATCAATGTTCTGACTCCGATACGCATAAATAACAGTCAACAATCCTTTAAGTAGATCTTTTGAACCACTCTACATGTGGGGCCACCAGTGGCCTTACGGTAAATTAGCTAGACAGTGATAGTTCAACCTCGGCTCGAATCCTGACGAATGGGCTGGCTGCATTTCTGTTTTCGTGTTTTTCTCCATGCGCAATATGGATACGAGCAAATTTTCCTAAGAAAGTCTTTCTTCTACGAAAGCATGTCTTTTCTTAGGCAGAGAAACCTCGTTTTGCGACATTCAAATAACCCAAACTCACTCCATGTATGATTGCTTGATTCTGTCTGTACATCCACATCAAGTCACAAAATATTTCCTCATGTAATTGAAGGACACACATTACAATAAAAATCATCAAATATCAATCATTAATATAACTTTGAGACAGCTGCATTCATTTTATAATTAACAGTGAACAACCTTCAAAACGCAAACCAGAATGTAAAAAAAAAAAAAAAAAAAAAAAAAAAAAAAAAAAAAAAAAGAAAGGAAAAAAAAAAAAAAAAAAAACATTATGCCCAAAGCGGCATTTTTTTAACGTTTTGTGTGTTACCCCTTTATTTATGAAATATCATCTTCTTCGCACTTAAACCATAAAATTCAGTTCAAGAACAATATGGCAAAATAATTTTAAAATGAACATATCTTTAGAATTTCCGATAGACAGTCTCGTGCGCTGGAGATAAAAATGTTTTTTTTCGTACAGTTTTGCCATTCCTGGCTTTGAAGTCGTTGAGTTTGTTAATCAAAAATTTACAAAGTTTTACAAAATTTGAAATAGATAATGAAACAAATTCCAAATTTGGGCTTCCAGATGCCCATATGCGGGTCGAAACGTACGTTATTCAAAATTTGATGGCTCTAGGTATTTGATTTGAATGATCTCAAAATTTGATGGCGCTGCTTTATGACAATGCGAGAAACATATATACATTTATGCAGATTCTTCATTATTTAATTTCTTGAAACATAACACAGGGCGATAATATTTGGTGGCAACAATTTGAAAAGTGAAACAACGCTTATCGTGAATCAACGCAAAATATTAAAACGAAATTACTAGCCCTTTTGGGAAAATTACCTTTTTGGACTAATAAAAACTATTAAAAAAAGAAGTTATTCATTTAAGATCGAAAATAAAATAAAATAAATTTAAGAATGAAAATAAAATAAAGTTTTAAATAAAGTAAAGTAAGTGAGGGAAAAAAATTACTATGCAGTTTAATGAGAACAGTTTTAGTGATTAGTTAATTTAGTGATTAAAATTTTACTGAGAATTAAAATTTCTTCTTGTTCTATTTCAGTGCAAATATTTTTAATTTAATTGAAAACTGTATTATAAATAACCTTTTTATAAATGTTGGTGCTCCAATTTATAAACTTAATTGTAGAAAAATTAAACTCTCTTGTTTTATCAAATGGGCTTATTTCTTTAAGATTATATATACTAAGAACCAGATCATCAACAATTAATTTATTTTTATTGGTCTTGTTTGGTTTTAGACAGTTAGAGAAGATACTGCTAATTTCAATAAGATTATTATTGCTGAATGTAATAATATCATCAATATATCTGAAAGTGGATTCAAATTTTTTAAAATCATCTTCTGAAAAGTTTCTAAGAAATTAAAATTCTATAGAAAACAAAAAGAAGTTACATAAATGAGTTGAATAAGAACTTCCCATTGGAATACCATTTGTTTGTAGGTAATTATTATTATAAAAGTTATAGAAAAATTAAAGTTATTGAAAACCGAGAAATAGATATAATCTTTCCATTTTTGCAAACCCAGAATAGTATTTATGAAACCCTCAGAGTCATATTTATAAATATAGCACGGATTTACGAAGGAATCGGTAGTGAGGCAGAAGAAACGTGATTCCCCGAATTTCCACAAAAGTTGCCAAGTTGGCGAGAAATTGCCAACTTAGTAGCAAAAAGTTTCTTAAAAGCAAACTGAAGCGTATTTCCTCATAATCTAGCGTTCTACCTGAGCTAATTTTAAAATTTAAATTTGTTGGAATCACAATAAAAAGCTTTGCTATTCAGTTTAAGAAATAATAACTTATACCCGAAACATGTCGCCATAAATTCAATTACACTGTAGAAACATTAGGTTTTTTGAAGCAGGAGGTGTAAAAAATGTGCAATGCCCTCGGCGGGACTCGAACATTGGAACTCTCAAATACGCGCCGAGTGTGCTGACCATTACACCACGAAGGCATGCTAAGAAGGCGGGTGAAATACCTTATATACCCCCTTTTAAACGGGCGACTGTAGATTAGGGGACCCAATCGCCAAATCCTGGTGTTGGAGTATCATCATCTACCACCGTTTTTAGTTCGGGCTCCACTGTAGAGTCATTAATGAAATGTGCTGTGTGCTCATCGGGACTCGAACCTGGACCTTTCGAATATGCGCCGAGTGTGCTGACCATTTCACCACGAAGGCATGCTAAGAAGGCGGGAGAACACATAAAATAAACCCTAAATTTATCACCCTAAAATCAGCAAATAAATAACTAAATAAAAATGCCGTGAGCAAGTGCAAAGTGCCTGTCGCAGGACCCCCCGTGTTTACTCCCCAAGTTAACTAACTTAATACTCATTTTATCGACCCACTTAAGGAGTGAAAGGCTGAGTCAACCTTGCCCAGCCCGAGGATCGAATCCCGGACCTGTGGTGCAGTTGCGCGACGCGCTAGCCACTTAGCCACCGGGCGGACTTACTGACTTACGGGCGGATTTACAACAATATAAATCTACTCATCTGATTAAAAAACTCCAAATCGAATTTTTAAAATTCGCTTTATCAGTTTTTATTTTTCTTGACAAAGCGTGTGTGTACAGAATTTGAACTCGATAGTTTATGAGGAATTATGTTAAAAATCGACGACAAAATTTCAACCAAGAGTGAATACCACGAGTGCAGTAAATAAAAGCTTATAAAATTATATATTTAAAGAGAGGGACTATAAAATAATACAAACAATGCTAAAAAAATTATTTTTCTATCAGCAAAGCAAAATAATAAAGAGAAAAATGAAATTACAATGTATGAAATAGAAATCGTTAAGCTAGATTTAGAAAAGAATGGCATGATATTATCATCACCATCTATTTCCTTTCAAGTTCCAAGATTAGAAAATATAACATTGAGGTAAATTTATAACACTTAGTCTTGTCACTGGACATAGCTATTCACCATAAGATGTGCATATT